CTAGGAGTTTACGATAAGATGCTTGGAGATTTGGTCACGAAGACATGCGCACAAATACTACAACTGCCAATAATGGTCATAACGTCAAGGGAAGCAGTTTCATATCTTCCGTTTGTTCCGGATAGGTTAACAAGCAAAGAACCAGCTGTTGTTGTTTTTCATTACTATGGACCTGATCATTATGACTCCACCAAAACGTCAGAAGGTTAGTGTGATGATTATTTGAAAAAAATCTGATGTTTTTCTAGTTATCGGATGGATAAAGTTCAATAAAGCGATCACATTGCAGATATTCGGCCATAAGCTTAAAAGAACTGTATTGACACCTTTGAGCAAGCTCTAACTTTTTTAGAACATAACCAAAGTAAACCGCGCGTTCTGATTGGTCAAATTAGCGTCCCCCATTTGCCCATGCGTGTACGCTGCTGACGTGAGCAAATACAAAGACTAGTTTTCCCCGCGCGCGCTTTTTCTTTTCTGGTCACGTAAGATTTGTCAAATAAAAGAAAACTCTTATTAATGTTATGTTATAAAACAAATGATAAACGCCACAGTGTACACTATTGATCTATGGATGCACGCGTGAGGTTGCTAAGCACAAAAGAAGCGTAAGAGTTGCGCGAGGTGATAGCCGAGAGCGACTCTAGCTTCTTCTGACATTTTTAAAGGAGTTGAATCATCAGACTTTTTCAAATTGCGGCCACACAAAGCGTGCCCAGTGATTAAGTGTAATCACAACTGAAAACTTGTGCTCGAGAAAATTTATTGCTTAAGTTTTTTGCTCTGGTCAGCTATGTTGCTTGAAGCTGAGTAAACACTCTTCTTATTATTTCATTTGTTCTGAATTTTAATTATACAAAAACACTGCTTGCGTAGCCTAATCAGCAAATTTGACATAAAGGTTGTAAAATACGAAAGTCACTTAACTAAAGTACAGCCCACAGGTCGTCATTAATCTAAACGTGTACGAAAACCTTTCTAAATACGAGCGCAAGTTTATATAGAGATCGTACTCATTATCAGTCGAATTATCGGAATTGAACACATCGAGTTTTCCTAGCGAGATCTCTTTACTTCACAGCAGAAAAGCAGATAGCGGAACTCGCAGAAGAGAAGGCCCTGATTGAAAAGGGTTGTAGTGGTGGAAGGAATAATAAGAACAGACAAAGATCGTGTGTTGAACGTTCTTTGCTAAGTGATCAGGCAACATCTTGTCCATGTCTCCGCTCAAAACTGAGGTGTTCAACAAGATGTAGAAAGAGGGGCTGCGCAAACAAAGAAAAAGTTATGGAGACCTTTTGTAGATGCGGCGAAGGAAAAAGAAAAGCAGTGACTATAAATCTTGTCGTGATTAAGTTGGAAAACGCGAAACGAAATGTCCTTGTTTCATACGAGGCAGTTCAGGTAATAAAACGGCTTCGTCAAAAAGGATTATCTAACACCCGTCAAAGAAGAACAAAAAAGATAACTTCAAGGTCGCCCACTGCCATACGACTAGCTTAATGAAGCAGGATTTCAAGTAAAACAAGACGGCTGGAATACGCTGGAGACCTGCATTTCACCTACTACTAAGTCATTTATTTCCTCTACTTGCACCTCCCCAACGACTGAAAACATTTTTAACCTTTCTAACTACGTCGTAAGGTAGATAAACACCGATAGGTAGAAACACACAATCAGTAAAAAGACAATAAATAAAAATCGAGCAAAGCGGGCTACGCGCATGATTTTTCCTCTTTACTCATATAATGAGGCCTTGGCTGAATCAGGCCTGACTAAACTTTCAGATCGCCGCCAGACACTAGTTGATAAACTATTTAAGAATGTTTTACAGAATGAACAGAACAAGCTCCATGAACTTCTTCCTACTCGCAGCACATGTACATTTAACCTAAGAAATATGCGGAAGTTTAAGCCAGTTTTTAAGACGAACAGGTTTCGTAATAGTTTTATTACCTTCAATGCCCTAAAGGCTTGAACGGTTTTATACAACCGTTTTTTTTTTTTGGAACATATATTTAGTGTTCTTATTGCTGTTTTAATACATTTAGTCTAACGTATTTATCAATCGTATATGAGCACGATCCTTCGCAGTAAAGCACTATTTGAGCAATAGTGAAAATCAGACCTGAAAAAAATTTCAGGCCTGTACGGGATTCGAACCACTGACCTCTGCGATACTAGTGCAGCGCTCTACCAATTGAGCTAACAAGCCAACTGGGAGCAGGCCATCAAATTAATTCGATATAAACCCGTAGATGATAAATCAAACAACAACAAACATATGAAACATATGTGTGAACTGCGGTTATGAGACGTATATGAGCACGATCCTTCGCAGTAAAGCACTATTTGAGCAATAGTGAAAATCAGACCTGAAAAAAATTTCAGGCCTGTACGGGATTCGAACCACTGACCTCTGCGATACTAGTGCAGCGCTCTACCAATTGAGCTAACAAGCCAACTGGGAGCAGGCCATCAAATTAATTCGATATAAACCCGTAGATGATAAATCAAACAACAACAAACATATGAAACATATGTGTGAACTGCGGTTATGAGACGTATATGAGCACGATCCTTCGCAGTAAAGCACTATTTGAGCAATAGTGAAAATCAGACCTGAAAAAAATTTCAGGCCTGTACGGGATTCGAACCACTGACCTCTGCGATACTAGTGCAGCGCTCTACCAATTGAGCTAACAAGCCAACTGGGAGCAGGCCATCAAATTAATTCGATATAAACCCGTAGATGTTTGATTATCAATGTTTGAAACTTGTAAATAATCGTATAATTCAACTTTTGGTTGCAAATCGGTTATTAATAAACTATCTATCTATCTATCTATCTATCTATCATTACAATGTAAAAGGAACAGGCAGGAGGCAATGTTGAACTTTATATGTGGATTATGAATGGTGTATTAAGAACGCTCGCGCCCAAATCTTCACGTGTTCAGATTGTTCTGAAACTTTCCTCAAGCTAAGTAACGACGTACTCATGATGCACAACCAAAAAAAAAAGATAAGAATAGAGGTTCATCATACCTATTTAAGAGGAAAAGCTCCATCTAAAAAAATAATAATTCGCAAAATCCAGTGACATTTATAGAGTGACTATGATTATACGACGCGACATCCTCTTCATTGCTTCCCGCGAGAAAATGAGTAGAATGAAACAATCATGAGAAGTAAATAACAGGGCCAAGCTGAATAAAAAAGAAAAATGCTTTCTTAAATAGAAAAAAGTCACCGAGGTGCCCGCAGAATCTTTCTGCTTTGTTGCCACCGAAAAAAAAGGTTTAGTTGATGATTTCAAAAATAGAGAACAAGTTGCTTTTGAAAAGGCATACTTCTTCCATAGGTAATCGTAAACTGAACTTACACCAAGGGTGACATTTAGAAATTCCCTTACAACTTCACGACCCCTCAGGGTACATCGATCACTACGTACATTTTTCCAATTTAGAGAAATTAAACTTTGACCAACTATTCTGTAATGGATAGCTACTTCATAGTGAAACGCATAGAAAGATGATGATAAACGACAGGAAAAAGAAGAGTTATTCACATACTTGATTGCTAAAGTCATTGAGAAAACGGGGTAGTAATTTCACTTGATTAGCAGGTAAATCACACTGTGGACAATGTAGACAGTTTTAAATACTGTGGACAGTGTACATAGTTGTACCTGCTGTACACAGTGTACTGAGATAGTAGTACCTACTGTAGACAGTGTAGATAGTGGTAGCTACTGTAGACAGTGTAGATAGTAGTACCTACTGTAGACAGTGTAGATAGTAGTACCTCCTGTAGACAGTGTAGATAGTAGTAGCTACTGTAGACAGTGTAAATAGTTGCACCTACTTTAGACAGTGTAGATAGGTTACATACTATAGAAAGTGTAGATACCTGTACCTACTGTGGATACTGTAGATAGGTGTACATACTGTAGACAGTGTAGATAGCTGTATATACTGTAGACAGTGTAGATAGCTGTACATACTGTAGACAGTGTAGATAGTTGCATCTACCGTTGAGAGTGTAGATAGTTGTAACTACTGTAGACAGTGTAGATAGGTGTACCTAGTGTAGACAGTGTAGATAGCTGTACATACTGTAGACAGTGCAGAGAGCTGTACATAATGTAGAGAGTGTAGATAGCGGTACTTACTGTAGACAGTGTAGATAGTTGTACTTACTGTAGACAGTGTAGATAGTTGTACTTACTATAGACAGTGTAGATAGTTGTACTTACTGTAGACAGTGTAGATAGTTGTACCTACTGTAGACAGTGTAGATAGTTGTACCTACTGTAGTCAGTGTAGAGAGGTGTACCCACTGTAGACAGTGTAGATAGCTGTACATACTGTAGACAGTGTACATAGCTGTACATACTTTAGACAGTGTAGATAACCGTACCTACTGTAGACAGTGTAGATAGCTGTACATACTGTAGACAGTGTAGATAGCTCTACATATTGTAGACAGTGTAGATAGCTGAACATACTGCATACAGTGTAGATAGCTTCACCTACTGTAGACAGTGTAGATAGCTGTAGCTACTGTAATCAGTGTAGATGGTTGTAGCTACTATAGACAGTGTAGGTAGCTGTACCTACTGTAGACAGTGTAAATAGTTGTATATACTGTAGACAGTGTAGATAGCCGTACCTACTGTAGACAGTGTAGATACGTGTACATACTGTAGACAGTGTAGATAGTTGCACATACTGTAGACAGTGTAGATAGCTGTACATACTGTAGACAGTGTAGATAGCTGTACGTACTGTAGACACTGTAGATAGCTGTACATACTGTAGACAGTGTAGATAGCTGTACATACTGTAGACAGTGTAGATAGTTGTACTTACTGTGGACAGCGAAGATAGTCATACCTACTGTAGACAGTGTAGATAGCTGTACCTATTGTAGTCAGTGTAGAGAGGTGTACATACTGTAGACAGTGTAGATAGCTGTACATACTGTAGACAGTGTAGATAGCTGTACATACTGTAAACAGTGTAGATAGCTGTACGTACTGTAGACAGTGTAGATAGCTGTCCATACTGTAGACAGTGTATACAGCTCAACATATTGTAGACAGTGTAGATAGCTGTATATACTGCAGACAGTGTAGATAGCTGTACATAATGTAGACAGTGTAGGTAGCTGTACATACTGTAGACAGTGTAGAGAGCTGTACATACTGTAGACAGTGAAGATAGCTGTACGTACTGTAGACACTGTAGATAGCTGTACATACTGTAGACACTGTCGATAGCTGTACATACTGTAGACAGTGTAGATAGCTGTACATACTGTAGACAGTGTAGATAGTTGCACATACTGTAGACAGTGTAGATAGCTGTACGTACTGTAGACACTGTAGATAGCTTTACATACTGTAGACAGTGTAGATAGCTGTAAATACTGTAGACAGTGTAGATAGCTGTACCTACTGTAGACAGTGTAGATAGCTGTAGCCACAGTACACAGTGTAAATAGTTGCACCTACTGTAGACAGTGTAGATAGTTGTACACACGCTAGACAGTGTAGATAGCTGTATATCAAACGTAGACAGTATAGATAGCTGTACCTACTGTACACAGTATAGATAGCTGTACATACTGTAGACAGTGTAGGTACCTGTACATACTGAAGACAGTGTAGATAGCTGTACGTACTGTAGACAGTGTAAATAGCTGTACATACTGTAGACAGTGTAAATAGCTGTAACAACTGAAGACAGTGTAGATAGCTGTACATACTGTAGACAGTGTAGAAAGCTTTACTTACTGTAGACAGTATAGATAGTTGAACCTACTGTACAGTGTAGACAGCTGTACATACTGTTGAGAGTGTAGATAGCTGTACCTACTGTAGATAGTATAGATAGCTGTAGATACTGTAGACAGTGTAGATAGCTGTACATACTGTAGACAGTGTAGATAGTTGCACCTACTGTAGATAGTATAGATAGCTGTACCTACAGCAGACAGTGTAGATAGTTGCACATACTGTAGACAGTGTAGATAGCTGTACATACTGTAGACAGTGCAGAGAGCTGTACATAATGTAGAGAGTGTAGATAGATGTACATACTGTGGAAATTGTAGATGGTTGCACTCACTGTGGACAGCGTAGATAGTCGTACCTACTATAGTCAGTGTAGATAGCTGTATCTACTGTAGACAGTGTAGATAGCTGTACTTACTGTAGACAGGGTAGATAGTTGTACTTACTGTAGACAGTGTAGATAGTTGTAACTACTGTAGACAGTGTAGATAGTTGTACTTACTGTGGACAGTGTAGATAGCTGTACATACTGTAGACAGTGTAGATAGTTGTATCTACTGTAGACAGCGTAGATAGGTGTACATATTGTAGACAGTGTAGATAGGTGTACCTACTGTAGACAGTGTAGATAGCTGTACTTACTGTAGACAGGGTAGATAGTTGTACTTACTGTAAACAGTGTAGGTAGTTGCATCTACTGTAGACAGTGTAGATAACTCTAACTACTGTAAACAGTGTGGATAGATGTACCTACTGTAGCCAGTGTAGATAGCTGTACATACTGTAGACAGTGTAGATAGCTGTACATACTGTAGACAGTGTAGATAGCTGTACATACTGTAGACAGTGTAGATAGCTGTTCCAACTTTAGGCAGTGTAGATAGCTGTACCTACTGTAGACAGTGTAGATAGCTGTACCTACTGTAGACAGTGTAGATAGCTGTACCTACTGTAGACAGTGTAGATAGCTGTACCTACTGTAGACAGTGTAGATAGCTGTACCTACTGTAGACAGTGTAGATAGCTGTACCTACTGTAGACAGTGTGC